GGCATGCTGGTAGTTGTATAGCAGAGCAAGGTAGCTCAGTTTAACATAACACAGGTGGCATAGGAGAAGATAGCTTGAACCCTGACGCAGTCGTAAACAAGCTTTAAATTCAGGTGAGCTTCATCTTCAGTGTCAAATTAAAATGTAGTGGAAACACAGCCTACCTGGATACATCAGGTGCAATAGGTACAAGGGAAACTAAAGCACATTTCAAACACCTGTGTTTGATGAGCAACTTCAAAGTGTCAATAAATGACAGTTATGTAATTAAACAATTGGATCAATGGTGGATTTGGAGACTAATGTGGAGATTTTCCTGTTGCTGTGACTCAACATGACAGAAAAGCTGAGACACAGATGGCTGAACAGTAGCTAAAAGAGATAGACGGCACTAATAAAGAACACAGAGCCATTACAGCTGAGAGACGAGCGATAAAAACGAGACGCTTGCATAGGCCGAAGCAGAACAAGAAAGGAGGCGGCTGAATGAGAGGACAGCGATGAAGGCGAAGGAATAAAAAAATAGTCAAGTCAAGGAGCTGGAAGGGAAGATTTGCAGGGAGCCAGAGCGGCTTTGTGAAACAACTTCCTGTTCTTTTTTGGGGGGTGGAAGAAGAACTTCTTTTGGGGTCGCCCATGAGCACAAAGTGAATGAAATCTTGTGTTTGCCAGGAGGTTTGTTTAGCTCGCCAGATTTCTGAGGAGAGGCAAGGCTACAGCCAGTTTCCCCAGTAACAGCACTGCTGGGACATTGCCAGACCAGTGGTGGGGGGAGTGGCAGCACACCACACAGCACTGACAGCATACTAATACTCCAGCCTTTAAACGTGTTGTTGATTGTTGGGCTTCTTTGTCAGAAAGAATACAGATTTGTTTTTGCTGACTCAGCAGCAGGAGAGACTATATGTCCGGCTGTATGTCGTCTACTTTGGCTCCTCTGACAGAGCAGCACAGAGGGGGAAAACAAAACGTAGCCATCAGATCCGAGACTGACGTGTAAACTCCAGCACTGATTTCACAGTAACAAATACGCATCTTTAAAGTAGATTATTCTGTTGCTTATTCTGGGTCTTGGTTGTTTGAGCTCCTCACCTTAATGAGCCAGGTTTCTTCTCATTGGATGCCACTCACAGACAGAAGGTTTGAATAGCAGGTGGGCGGAGCTTCTGTCCCCAAAGAGTACAATAAGTGGGATATGTAGAAACGGACCTTTTGGATGTCAAAAATGACTTGTTCATGCAGTCAGGTCCATAAATGTTTGGACAATCACTCGATGTATTTCGATGCCATGACAGGCCGTCGGTCACTCCTTCATTTAATCACTGCTGAAGCTGTTTTTCATTTTTCTTTCACTATTTTGTTTCACTCCTAATTTCACTTCACTTTAATAACATTGCTCCCAATTCCAGCTTCATGTGAAAAGTCTTCTGTGTGTATAGATAATATACATAAAACTCATGAGATTATTATTACCATTACAGGGCTCTACACTAACTTTTTGCCATGGGCGCACCGGTGCGCCTAACTTGTTAGCATCGCTTAACACCGCAGTTTTACATGTGCACATTTTTGGAAGGAAGTTGCAGTCCATACAGACAATATTCATTTCTAAATTATTAACTAACAAACTTGTGCTTAAAGTGCTTTGTCAATATTGTAGAAAATGTTAAACTTAATCATCATCTCAGCTCCTCTGACGACCTGTTTGCTGTTGCATGCTGCTGACAGGCAGTGGGGAGAGGGGACACTTGGGCATTTATTGCAGCATATAATGTGTTTTCTGGATACACTGGTGCTTTTTCAGC